AGTTCTAGTTCAGTTCTAGTTCAGTTCTAGTTCAGTTCTAGTTCAGTTCTAGTTCAGTTCTAGTTCAGTTCTAGTTCAGTTCTAGTTCAGTTCTAGTTCAGTTCTAGTTCAGTTCTAGTTCAGTTCTAGTTCAGTTTCTAGTTCAGTTCTAGTTCAGTTCTAGTTCAGTTCTAGTTCATAGTTCTAGTTCAGTTCTAGTTCAGTTCTAGTTCAGTTTCTAGTTCAGTTCTAGTTCAGTTCTAGTTTCAGTTCTAGTTCAGTTCTAGTTCAGTTCTAGTTCAGTTCTAGTTCAGTTCTAGTTCAGTTCTAGTTCAGTTCTAGTTCAGTTCTAGTTCAGTTCTAGTTCAGTTCTAGTTCAGTTTAGTTCAGTTCTAGTTCAGTTCTAGTTCAGTTCTAGTTCAGTTCTAGTTCAGTTCTAGTTCAGTTCTAGTTCAGTTCTAGTTCAGTTCTAGTTCAGTTCTAGTTCAGTTCTAGTTCAGTTCTAGTTCAGTTCAAGTTCAGTTCTAGTTCAGTTTTAGTTCAGTTCTACTTCAGTTCTAGTTCTAGTTCAGTTCTACTTCAGTTCTAGTTTAGTTCTAGTTCTAGTTTCTAGTTCTAGTTCAGTTCTAGTTCAGTTCTAGTTCAGTTCTAGTTCAGTTCTAGTTCAGTTCTAGTTCAGTTCTAGTTCAGTTCTAGTTCAGTTCTAGTTCAGTTCTAGTTCAGTTCTAGTTCAGTTCTAGTTCAGTTCTAGTTCAGTTCTAGTTCAGTTCTAGTTCAGTTCTAGTTCAGTTCTAGTTCAGTTCTCTTCAGTTCTAGTTCATTCTAGTTCAGTTCTAGTTCAGTTCTAGTTCAGTTCTAGTTCAGTTCTAGTTCAGTTCTAGTTCAGTTCTAGTTCAGTTCTAGTTCAGTTCTAGTTCAGTTCTAGTTCAGTTCTAGTTCAGTTCTAGTTCAGTTCTAGTTCAGTTCTAGTTCAGTTCTAGTTCAGTTCTAGTTCAGTTCTAGTTCAGTTCTAGTTCAGTTCTAGTTCAGTTCTAGTTCAGTTCTAGTTCAGTTCAAGTTCAGTTCTAGTTCAGTTTTAGTTCAGTTCTACTTCAGTTCTAGTTCAGTTCTAGTTCTAGTTCAGTTCTACTTCAGTTCTAGTTTAGTTCTAGTTCTAGTTCAGTTCTAGTTCAGTTCTAGTTCAGTTCTCGTATTTCATTATTGTTCATATTTACATTTTTCGCTTGTTGTAGGTCGGGTTTCCTTTTACCCTTTTACCCTTATACATTGTGTTCCACCCGTAAATACATAGATATAAATATATTTGTTTGTGCGTCTCGTGGCCATTATTATTATCAGTTTGGTAGCATGTTAACCAAATATACTAAACTTTGTTTGTTCCTACTCTTGTTGTACTGATATTTTCCATTTATTTCTGTTACATTTTTTACCTTTTACCAAGTCATATCAAACTGTCGTCTTACCATTAAGCTTGAGGGCCTTTCACTCAACTTAATACTTGTGTAACAGAGAAGAAGAGCAGACAAGTATATGGTGAATACAAGCACCATAATACCCGTTATTTTGAACGTACATTCATAACTTTTTTTGTGTCTTCTCGTAAGTCTGTTACAAGTAAAAATAACTTAGTAGGGGACAAAAAAATAGAGAAAAATACATTTGTTTACTTTTTTACTTGTTAAAAAGAGGGGGAAGTAAAAAGTAAGAATAATGGTGGTTTCCGTTTTTTTTTCTCCTTTTTTTCATCGTCTTCATGTTTGTTGGCATTATCGCATTGTTATCGTGCGAATGCTCGCTTATGTAAGTGTCATGCACGCTAAATGTGTCAGAAAAGGGTTGAGACTCAAGTCAAATATTTTTGTTAAACACTGTCAGCCTAACGTGATAGTAGTACCTTTAAGAAAGAAAATAACACAAAGAGTTTTGTGTAGTTAGAAGATACTACAAGATACTACATTCATACAGATACAGACATTCATATTTAACTAGTCAGGGTTAAAAGGAAAACAATATTTTAAAGTGTTTTTCTTGTTTTTGCTTTTAAAGAAATGTTTCTTCAGACACGCATTAGGTAGGGGGAAATAAAATGTTGTTTGCTTAAAGATTTTTTGTTCAAAATTGTAAGCGTGGGAATTTAATTTGAAAAATTAATAATTATAATTTTTTATAGAAATATATTTTCGAAAATACGAGAATATATGAGTTTTTCGATTTTGAAGATTCTGAAAATATGTATGTTAAATTGCAGTTCTAGTTTGGGATTGGTACAGATCTAGTTCATTTACGAAGCCGGAACTATTGTGTTCATTTCTAAATATAAAGTAGGGCCTTGGAAAATTTGCACTATATACAAAATCAAACTACCACTTATTCATTCAATTTCAAAGATCATATAAAAATGCCAATTTTTCCGAATATCGTATGAAAATACAAAACAAAAAAAATCAAAACATTTAATGTTCTACATGTCTAGTCTTAAATCTAGCGACCACTTATCTGAGTTACAACTGTAATGACAAACTTTTATACACCCTCATTATCGGTGATTAGAAGTGTGAGGGGGATATTAAAAATTAACCAAACAAATTCACTTATCTTCTCGCCTTGATTTTATGACTACCCCAAAAAAATATATAATAAAATTAAAAAAAATCTGTTTTATATATTTATTTTACTTTTGTTTTTTTTCCTTTTGGGTGTAAACAATAAAAAAGTAACAAAAAAAAAAAAAGGAATTAAAATCGTTAAAACATACGGCCAACGGGCTACACTATTACAAGTGTAGCGAATGGGAAAAAAATTAGAAAACGTGACTAAAATAGAAGATTAAACGCACAACAGCTAAAAATATCTACACGGCTCCAAAATAATCACACAAGCAGAAGGATGAAGGAATAAATATATGAATGACTGACTAAAGAAACATGGTAAAAGAAGCAGTCCATTAAAAACCTCATGATGGCTAAAATAAACAATAAAATTAGCTCTACAAATGCCTACTCGGCATCTATAATGTGCCATCTACGTTTTTTATGTTTTTTTATGCCTCTATGCTGTTCTTTACTATTGCCATCCTTTGCCTTTTTTGGCGTCCTGTTGTTATGTGTGTGTGAGTAAGCACGAATTTCTTGTATATATTCATGTAGCTGTGTGTTTTAGGCCACACAATTAACCTAAAAGGTTGAAAATAATAAAGAAAAACAACAAGAAAACTTTAGAAAACTTGAGCTGAAAACACAAAAGTTTAACCCAAATAAATTCTTCTTTTTTTTGGGAGACAATAAAAAATTCATAAAAATTAAAAGAGGTTTATAAATAAAACAAAAGCGAAAAGTTACAAGGAAAAAGTTATAAAGTATTAGAAAAGAAAACAAAAAATATTATAGATTTGAAATACTTGGTGGTTTAATGCTTACTAATGTTTCCTAGAAGCTTAGTAATTCCTATTAATCTATCCAGCTCTTTGGTGGTTGTATAAATAGTGATCATCATAGAACTGAACTAGAACTGAACTAGAACTGAACTAGAACTGAACTAGAACTGAACTAGAACTGAACTAGAACTGAACTAGAACTGAACTAGAACTGAACTAGAACTGAACTAGAACTGAACTAGAACTGAACTAGAACTGAACTAGAACTGAACTAGAACTGAACTAGAACTGAACTAGAACTGAACTAGAACTGAACTAGAACTGAACTAGAACTGAACTAGAACTGAACTAGAACTGAACTAGAACTGAACTAGAACTGAACTAGACTGAACTAGAACTGAACTAGAACTGAACTAGAACTGAACTAGAACTGAACTAGAACTGAACTAGAACTGAACTAGAACTGAACTAGAACTGAACTAGAACTGAACTAGAACTGAACTAGAACTGAACTAGAACTGAACTAGAACTGAACTAGAACTGAACTAGAACTGAACTAGAACTGAACTAGAACTGAACTAGAACTGAACTAGAACTGAACTAGAACTGAACTAGAACTGAACTAGAACTGAACTAGAACTGAACTAGAACTGAACTAGAACTGAACTAGAACTGAACTAGAACTGAACTAGAACTGAACTAGAACTGAACTAGAACTGAACTAGAACTGAACTAGAACTGAACTAAACGGAACTAGACTGACTAGAACTGAACTAGAACTGAACTAGAACTGAACTAGAACTGAACTAGAACTGAACTAGAACTGACTAGAACTGAACTAGAACTGAACTAGAACTGAACTAGAACTGACTAAACTGACTAGAACTGAACTAGAACTGAACTAGAACTGAACTGAACTGACTAGAACTGAACTAGAACTGAACTAGAACTGAACTAGAACTGACTAGAACTGAACTAGAACTGAACTAGACTGAACTAGAACTGAACTAGAACTGAACTAGAACTGAACTAGAACTGAACTAGAAACTAGGAACTAACTGAACTAGAACTGAACTAGAACTGAACTAGACTGAACTAGAACTGAACGAGACTGAACTAGAACTGAACTAGAACTGAACTAAGAACGGAACTAGAACTGAACTAGAACTGAACTAGAACTGAACTAGAACTGAACTAGAACTGAACTAGACTGAACTAAAACTGAACTAGAACTGAACTAGAACCTGAACTGAACTGAACTAGAACTGAACTAGAACTGAATTAGAACTGAACTAGAACTGAACTAAAACTGAACTAGAACTGAACTAGAACTGAACTAGAACTGAACTAGAACTGAACTAGAACTGAACTAGAACTGAACTAAATATATTTTTTTTAATCCAAATTCCTTTGATATGATTTTCACGATTTTAATCTTTTATAACAAAAATGTACGATCAGTGGAGAACGTTTTGCTCTCAGAATTTCACAGCCGATATAGCATTTAAGTAAAAAATTACCCGATTAGATAAAGAAAAGATTAATCAATGTTTGATAGAAAATTATGCATTTTTTTATAAAAATTAAGATACTATAAAAAATAAAAGTTAAATATGTAATTATAATAAAATATCAGTGCAATACTTACATCATAATTCTCTGGCAAACCAGGTGGACCTGGCGGTCCGGGAGGACCCATTACGCCAGGCATACCATCGACACCTGGTTCACCTTTGTTGCCTTGCAGACCTTCGGGACCACGAGGACCAGGATCGCCCCTTTCGCCGCGGTCACCTTTAGGACCGGGGGCACCGCGTTCACCTGGTACCCCAGTAGCACCCTAGAGAAGAAATCGAAGGAAGAAACAAAGAAAACACATAAAATTAATGAGTTGTTTTATTCATTTAAGACAAATACTAAATATTAGCAATAAAAATAAAAAGCCATACAAATATTGTGTATAAATACTAAAAGCATAAGATAGCTATACAAGTCCAGTAAAAGTGGAGTGGTTAAGGGAGTAGAGTTAAGTAGTACTAGCAGCTGTAGTAGTAGGTGGTAGTAGTAGTATTTAGCAGTTACAGTAGTAAAATAAACTAAGGTGTGTTTATGGCTTAAAGACAAAGACAAATTATGGGTAATTTTTATGTGGTTGTGAATTTGTTTTATACATTTTTATTTCCTTTTATTTTTTCCCTTCTCACTCTCTCCCTCTGTGACAAACACAAATATTTAAGTTAAGAAAAGTAGCAACTTTAATTTTTGGTAGATAAAAATAAAAAAAAAACAACATGAAAAAATTAAAAGCTTTTTTTAGGGCCATAAAATTTACACTACATTGACACTCCTTGTCAGATACTTTTATGACTTCAACTGCCTTTAGAGAAAAGAAGTGGGAGGGTAAAATCGTTTCTTTAAGACAAAATAAAAAAAAAAACTGAAAACAACACATTTTTCATGTGTTTTTCTGCACAAAATTTATCACAATAAAATAAAAAGAAAAACTACAAGAAATAATCATGTTTTCTTGATGATTGCGTGTTACAATATTGTTGTTATTGTTTTTATTTTATTGTTGTTGTCGTTCTTGTTGTTGTGGTAGTACTTTGTTGTTGTTTAAGTGTTGGTGTTAAACTTGAAACTCTTTTGGTGGGAAAACTAGTAAGTATGTGTATATGTATAAATATGTATGTGTCAGTATATGCGTGTTGGAATCTTTGAAAGGGGGAGTTTCATTTTAATGACCCTAAACAAATCATTTTCTAATTGAGGTTTTAACTCCATGGAAAAATCTCGCTGGAGGTGGTTTAAAGGCATTAATAGTACTACTTAAATATAACAAGTAATTTTAGCTGTATTTCCTGATTTATAAATTTAAATTCAAAAATTTTAACTTGTAATAAATATTCGGAGAAATTTCTCAAATATACTTATTTCTTAATTATTGTTCATATTGTCAAAGTATTATTGAACATTAATTTCTTTTCTACTAAAGACCGAGAACAAATCGCCAGTATTTCCAAATCCCAGATACAACTACTTTAAGACGATTAGTTTTTTAACGTTCGATACAATTTTGCTTCCAAAATAGTCTTTGTTTGTTTATTCAGTACTAACTCAGTTCTGTTCTAGTTCCGTTCTAGTTCTGTTCTAGTTCTGTTCTAGTTCTGTTCTAGTTCTGTTCTAGTTCTGTTCTAGTTTCTGTTCTAGTTCTGTTCTAGTTCTGTTCTAGTTCTGTTCTAGTTCTGTTCTAGTTCTGTTCTAGTTCTGTTCTAGTTCTGTTCTAGTTCTGTTCTAGTTCTGTTCTAGTTCTGTTCTAGTTCTGTTCTAGTTCTGTTCTAGTTCTGTTCTAGTTCTGTTCTAGTTCTGTTCTAGTTCTGTTCTAGTTCTGTTCTAGTTCTGTTCTAGTTCTGTTCTAGTTCTGTTCTAGTTCTGTTCTAGTTCTGTTCTGTTCTAGTTCTGTTCTAGTTCTGTTCTAGTTTTGTTCTAGTTCTGTTCTAGTTCTGTTCTAGTTCTGTTCTAGTTCTGTTCTAGTCTGTTCTAGTTCTGTTCTAGTTCTGTTCTAGTTCTGTTCTAGTTCTGTTCTAGTTCTGTTCTAGTTCTGTTCTAGTTCTGTTCTAGTTCTGTTCTAGTTCTGTTCTAGTTTTGTTATAGTTCTGTTCTAGTTCTGTTCTAGTTCTGTTCTAGTTCTGTTCTAGTTCTGTTCTAGTTCTGTTCTAGTTCTGTTCTAGTTCTGTTCTAGTTCTGTTCTAGTTCTGTTCTAGTTCTGTTCTAGTTCTGTTCTAGTTCTGTTCTAGTTCTGTTCTAGTTCTGTTCTAGTTCTGTTCTAGTTCTGTTCTAGTTCTGTTCTAGTTCTGTTCAAGTTCTGTTCTAGTTCTGTTCTAGTTCTGTTCTAGTTCTGTTCAGTTGTTCTAGTTCTGTTCTAGTTCTGTTCTAGTTCTGTTCTAGTTCTGTTCTAGTTCTGTTTTAGTTCTGTTTTAGTTCTGTTCTAGTTCTGTTCTAGTTCTGTTCTAGTTCTGTTCTAGTTCTCTTCTAGTTCTGTTTTAGTTCTGTTATGTTCTGTTCTAGTTCTGTTCTAGTTTTCTGTTCTAGTTCTGTTCTAGTTCTGTTCTAGTTCTGTTCTAGTTCTGTTCTAGTTCTGTTCTAGTTCTGTTCTAGTTCTGTTCTAGTTCTGTTCTAGTTCTGTTCTAGTTCTGTTCTAGTTCTGTTCTAGAGTTTCGTTCTAGTTCTGTTTCTAGTTCTGTTCTAGTTCTGTTCTAGTTCTGTTCTAGTTCTATTCTAGTTCTGTTCTAGTTCTGTTCTAGTTCTGTTCTAGTTCTGTTCTAGTTCTGTTCTAGTTCTGTTCTAGTTCTGTTCTAGTTCTGTTCTAGTTCTAGTTCTGTTCTAGTTCTGTTCTAGTTCTGTTCTAGTTCTGTTCTAGTTCTGTTCTAGTTCTGTTCTAGTTCTGTTCTAGTTCCGTTCTAGTTCTGTTCTAGTTCGGTGCTAGTTTTGTTCTATTTGTCTTCTGGTTCTGTTATAGTTCTGTTCTGGTTATGTATGTTTTAGTTCAGTTGGTGTTCTATTTTAGTTCTTTTTGGTTCTGTTTTGATTCTGGTTTAGTTCGGTTCTTGTCCTTTATGAAACTCTCCACAATTTGGTTTGCATGTGAGCGTTTATTTTTCCTTCTTGTTGTTGTATGTTAAAGTTGTTTTTAAATCTGCATAGTTAAAGTATGTTTCTTTTCTACTTATCGGATTAAATTAATTGCTATAAGTAAAAGGGGATTAGCAATGATGGTGGCCATACCGGAATTTCCGACATTTTGCCATATATCATCAGTCGTTGTAATGCAAACTAAATGTGTGTGAGTTTCTTAACAATCTATAATAGGTTGGTGGTTAGATAATAAACAATATAAAGTTTAACTATCCTTAGCAAAAGAAATTAAAGAAACACCCTTTTAAATAAGTGCAGAAATTTTTATAAATTAAAGTAAATGACCATTTATGATTAAATAAGTTTTAAGGTTTTCATTTAAGTAAATACACATAGGTACATCGCATTCGAAATATTTTAACTTCGTACTTAAGTAATAACAACATCTTATGATTACTTTAATGTCTAGAGATTATGAAACGCATAAACAATATTTTTTTTTTATTTCCACTTTCTTTCCCTGCTGTGGGTTTATGTTTTGCCACTCGACGTCATTCTCTAGTGGTTCTTAGGAAGATGTTTTTCTTTTTGTTTTATTTTTCCAATGGTTGGATATATTTAGCGGAATACTTATGGTTTGCCTCAAATATTTCTTACTCTCGAGCAGATGAACAAGAAGACTAAGATGAAGCTCTTATATATATATTTTTTTTAATTTTAGTTTGATTTATAGGGGGAAATTTGTTAAGATTATGGTTTAATTTTGACCAAGGAAACGCAATCTAAATACAAAAACAAATATTATTAATAAATAATACCCAAAAAAAAAAAAAAGAATAAGAATTACTGAAACCAACCGTTTTACGCTTAATATATTGCATGAGACTTCTTTCCACAAGAGGCTGGATTTTCAAAATGAAAACAAACGGAAAAATATTAAATAAAATAAATGAATGTAAATTTTTTGGGGTAGGAAAAGAAGAAGAATAATCATTATAATATAGAAATAAATGATTATTATGATGGGCCAAGGGAATTAACTATTTAAAGTGAATATTTTAAATATATAGTTTACTGGGAAAGTTTTGTAACCTTAATAATTTGGCTACAAAAACTGGAAAACTAAAGCCTCAAACGTTATCTTTGAAAAACCTTTAAGTCTTTCATATTAAATTTTTCCCACACATATTCAAATTTTATAAATATTTTCCTAATTTAATTTTTATTTCAAATAAATGTATACGTAATTCACAACTTTATTTCACAATTTAATAGTTGAACATTATATCAACCCTGTAGTTCAAGTCTCTGTCCATACTTGGGGAACACTTACATGGCAATTGAAGCTATGTATCTCTTTTGACTCATACTTATCATTTGTATATGAGTTTTCGTTTGCCAAAATGGAAAGGATACATAGACATCATATAGAATTGTTGGGCTTCGTCAATAAAGTAAGAAAGTGGTCACCCTCCTTTAAAGATGCTCAAGTATGCGTATGTTGTAACAACAACAGCAACAGAAAAAAAACTGTTTCAAGATATTTTTACTATCAGCCACAAAACTACTTCTTATTTTTATACATTTATGCACATTTGCACCCCTCTAAGGTATAGAAAAATGTATTTCTTATTTTTATCATTTTTCATACCTATATTTTTTCACAGAAAAAAAAAAAAACAGAACTTCTTTTAGTTACGATAAGGATTTTGTATAAATTCTCCTGCTTGACATTTGGGCATGTTGATAAAGAAAAATCCCACACACACACACATACATTTTTATAACCGTATTAGAATAAATTTATATGTAAAAAAAAAAACGAAACTGTAAAATGTTGATACTCGTGTAGTATATGCATGTGAATTTATGTCTGTCAGTGTATTTTCCATGTATGATTATATGAGCTTTTAGTGCATGGCTGTATACTATTCTAAAATTGAGATAAAAATGGAAAATATTCTGAAATGCATTTGAATTACTAACATTTTAAGCCAAAGAAGAACGAAAAGTGAACGACGTTTTCTAAACAAGTTTTTAGCATCAGAATTTCATTCAGAATTAAGTTTTTCTTGGTTGAAAGTAAATATTTAGAGGATATTTTTTTGTAAAGGATTTAAGAAAAGATATCTTAAAGATTTTATGGTCTCCTTTGGATTGACATAATAATAAATACTTTTTATAACATTAACATGGAGTCGAAGA